TCCACGTCTGTATTAAATTCAAACTAACCATTCAAATTTTATGATAAAATAAAATAATTTTTAAAATTCCATTCTGTTCATTCTTCAGCCCTACTACAAAGTCAGTTCTACTACTATTTGAATTTAAAATGCTTCATAAATTGATGAAATCACAGTTTTGTAATGGCAGACATCTGCCAATGGAAATCTCTTGTGTGAATAAATAGATGAAAAAAAAAAAGTTAAAATATATCTGTTTATATATTTTAAACCTAACCAGCAGACCAGAAATAAAAAGCTCTCTGGAAAATGAAGGTGAAACAAAGAGATCAGAGTTAAGGCAGATATTGTTTAAAGATAGTTATGGAAACAAAGTTCTTTTTCCCTGAACTACAGTGAACATTTGCAAAGTCTCTAGTTATAGCCTGTTATTAACAAATTTAGATGATTCATATTGAGTTTGATATTTAGGCCTAACTTTATTAAATCTGAATAGGACTGTGAAAATAGGGACTTTGAATGAGTAATACAGGAGAGATGGAAAGGCTCTGGTTTTCTGAGAGCACTTGGCACGTTCACTTCTAAAGTCAGGCATCTTTAAAGGTTTCTTCAAAAGTACACCCAAAATAACTAGTCATTTTTGAAAAGGAAGATTTATCAACCCTGTAGTGAGCAGTGAGATTAGTGGCAAACGGGCTAGAAAAACACAGATAGACTGACACATGTTCCAGTCTCTGTAATGCATACTGTTTTCATAAGATGTACCTTCCTGTAAATGTACCTCTTATACCTTCAGAGTTAGCAACTCTTTTCCACAACACACACATTATTACATATATGTGCATGGTTATACATGTATACATATATGTATACACACATGCTTACATACACACACAATAAACACAAAAATAATAAAATTAATTTCTTGAAATAATTTTTGAAACACAAAGCACTTAGAATAATTACATTGAAAACAACTCCATAGAGTTGATGGTAATTTTTTCCTCTTTAGAATAAGACCTTCCTACCAAATTCCAGTTTATTTTTAAGTTCAGCGAACTCAAGTTGTACACTATCAGCTGCTACCTTTTCCCTATTTTGTATGCACTTCTGGTACAGAGTTCTGCAAGAATGCAGATTAAGAAAAGTTGTGTATTATTTTAACTTGTATTACTCTGGAAATAGCTTTTTTTTTTTTTTTTAAGCTTCCTTTTATCCCCTGAAATACATGATGTCCATCTGTACTGTCATTCATACAGTCACTGATATTGAGACAGAAATACTGAACAGAAGAGCTAAGTCAAAATAATTTCAAAGTGACTTTATACCTTCTTGGGCAGTACTGCTCCAAAGCAGCATAAAATTAATACTTGTTTTTTACTGCGTTATTTATTTTGAAAATAATTACAGGTGTAGTTTTAACCAATGTACGTACGTATCTGAAAGCTGAACTTGTAAATGTATCCTCTGTATTTGCACATAAGCCATACACCATTTTTAGATCTGAAAAATTATTCCAAGCTTTCTTTCTTTCCAATGCACTTTTAGTACAGAGCTCTACATGAATGATGGGATGAGAGCTGCCTGCCTTTCTGAATGTACCAGTCAGTGTGGTGGAAGGAACACTGAGGACGATGTGACGTTGAACACAACATTTACTGGCATTTATTCAGGATGACCTGCCTGAGTCAGCGTCGCCTCACCAGTCCTATGATCACTCCTGCTCATGAGTAATGTCCCAACCCAAGAAAACCTTTCAGCACCACACCCAGCTGTGTACACTTCCCTTGTGTAGACACAGCCCTCTGGGTGATTCAGGAGATCTTCCCTGGGTTCTAACCACCAGCAACTGAAAATACATCATAGGTTGAACCATATTAGGTCAAAAATATATAAACAAACCCTCTTAAGCCACAGAAATAAATTCTTTTTCATGCATCATAGTTCCTTCAAAGTTTACTGGCTCTATACTCATCTTCAGAACCCTGAGACAGTTGCTTTCCTTGTCTGGGTAGGTAGAAATTGAAAAATTCTAGACTCATCCATTTTACCTTTATTTCACAGCAAATTACCTCTAATGGCAGACAGATGACAAAACACATAATCCTTAATACTTCTAAAGTCAAAAAGAAAAAAAGATCGGAAGTACTTGAAGTTCTACTGTGAACTGCAAGCCATTCATGTTAAATATTGCTTCATCGAGTCTATGCTATACCAACTAATCATTATCATATAGCTGTTCATAGAGCACTTGAAAATAACAGATGGAATGGAGGTATTTGTAGATGTGACAACTACATTGGGAAAGGAATTTCCAGTTCTGCTAAACTCTCAAGGATTCTGCAGTTGTCATGGGATCACTTTGAGCAAGAAACTTCCCCATGTTAGAAGACAGATGTTCCATGTTAAGATGGAGATCTGGGAAGTCTTTGGACAGTTTAGGAAAGGTTCCTTCCTCTTTCCATACTGGCAAGTTTTTTTTGACAGCCAGAGTTTTTACAATAACATTGTCTTCATGATAATGGTCTCCTAGACCTATTCTGAACCAAATGCTGCTGGCATGAACACAGAAAATGATTACCATACAAAACTGAGGTGGATTTTGTGTATGTAAAGTTTTAAAAGGCCCTTGTGATCAACTCCAAAGAAACGGTACAGGTAGGCTCACCTTGTATCTGAGGAAGATGAAAATGACATTAATACAAAGAAAGAGGAAACAAGAACATACCTGGGAAGAGATTTACATCAGACGTTCAGTCTCATGGATGAAATGGCTGAGATCTTCTGGGATGGTTATCTGTTTTGAAACGCCAATGTCTGTCCTGAATGGTAAGCCATCTCCTGCCTCTCCATCCTCCATACCATATATATTGTCTGTACATATTTAAATTGTGTATTGTTAAGTCTTTGCAGACATTTCCCCTCTGTTACATTAATTATGACAAGAAAATTGGTGTGCTGTCATAACACTGGCCATCCCAACTCTTCAGGAACACACTGCCTGTGGATAGTAAGCTTTACCTGTATTAGGTGAAAGACTAAGTTGTTTGTATTCCACACATCTGCTCAGAGACAGAAGTTCAAATGAGGAAAAAAATCCGTGCTGAGAAAATATGTGAAGTACTGCAGGAGAGACACTGACAGAGCACAGTGACTTTTTCATGTGACCACCTTAGGCAAAGAAAGAAAAATTACTTTCCAAAAGAAAAAAAATCAAAAGGGAAAGGAAATAAAGGCCTTCTCACAGATCTCCAATATTCTATATGAAATGTTAACTTCCCATTATTAAATGCTAGAAGCCATTAAATGGTGGAAGCCATTACACAAAAATGAACGCGGTTTCATGTTTTGCACCTCCAAACTTCAGTTATAAAAGTACCTCAGGTAGACTCAATGGAAATTATTTTATTTTAAATCAAGACAACTGAATTCAAGTCTCATGTTTTCAAGTTGATAGCGGGATATAATTCTGGTTTAAGATTTGCCATATGATCAGAATAAAAAAAGGGAGATTTTCCTGTCACCGAACAATTCCACACCTAAACTCCTTCTTCCCAAGAAAATTCAGTGCTGGGAGCAAAATAATAAGGTTAATAAGTTAAATCATATCAAAATATAATTATAAAAAGATAGTAGTGGGGAGAGTCTCACAGCCTGTTTCTTTTTTCAGTTAGGTGGGCCCCTTACTATACATAGGAGCAAAATGGGAATATCTCCACCAAATTCACTCTGCACAAACTTTAATGCCTCCTCCCTTTCTGGGCCATTTCAATGAAGAAGTGCTCTGAAGCCACCTTGCCTTTACTAGCAGGTAAATCCTTTGTTAAGATAGTAACTTTTGTGGGAACCTCCTCTTAAAATACCAGCAGCAAATAATTTATTCTCCATTCTAAGAAGCTTTACAAGGATACAAAGCTTTACAAAGGCATCAAGATGGTTTCTGCCTTCACACGCCAAAATAACATGATTTTACTGCTGCTTCAAATACAATTAATTGTTTGGTTTCCTTTTACCTTCTGACTTTCTCTTCAGGAACAGTATTCTCGCCATTTAGTAACAGGATATTTCTAATGACCGTACCACAGATGGTGTGTACACCCAGAATACAAATAACCACATTTTTGGGACTGCATCATTTTCATATGGAAGAGTGAGCCAAAATCATAATGAGTAAGGAAACTATTTTGTATAAGGTTCTGGAAAACCCTGAAAAAATCCTATTTTAAGAAAAGCTGCAGCAAAGATGCTTAAAAGTGAAACCGTGCAAAATCATCTAGATTAAAATAACTTATGCAGGTTTAGTCAGATGTAAGTATTTTAGATTAGATTGCAGTTTTATTGCTGCCTCAGTGGGGGAAATCCCACGCCTGTAAAAGGCCCAAATGAAGTGCCAGTCTCTTGCCCATGGGACACAGATTATGTATTTTTGAATAAAATAATACTGCTTTAAGTACTAACTGCTTGTAAATCCTAATGCAGCAAACATCCTGCTACTTTGATTGTATTACAAGAATTACAGAAAAGACTAAATTCTTACTCTCGGGAGGACCCTACTCCTGCTTCCTTGTAGGCAATTAACACGGAATTAAAATTGGAAAGTGCCCGACAACCTAGTGAGCCACCTCAGGCCCTGGCCCCCAGGATGCTCCCCGCCATCACAGCACTGACAGGCCAGTCTTGCAGCTCCTCTGATTGGCCAGTGGCAGACAGACACACCCTCTGATTGGCTGTGCGCCTCACTAGTGAGTGTGATAGGCTGGACCCAGCCCCGCCTCCGCTGAGTCTCTATCTCCTCCCGCCATGGCGCCCCTCCTGCTCCCTGGCGTGCAACCTAAGTGAGGCATCCCACAGAGGCTTGGTGGAACTAATCCTCAATAATCGCCCTATAAATACAAGCAGCTCTGTTTCAGATAATCTGGGCCTGAGGAACTAAAGCATCCAACTTTGCAAGACAGCGAGAGCAGATAAGAATCTTAAAAAGCAGCCTGAACTCTGAAGAAAGATGACCACAAGAACAGCACTGTACAGAAAAACGTTTATTGAGAGCGTTGTCGCATTAGAATTGTTACTATTTCATCAGCAAAAGCTGTGGCAAAATATACATGTCATTATTGTCCTTCTGTCATGAAATCCAGTCCATATGTCAGCATTGGTCTCTCAGCTGGTTACTCAGTTCCTGAAGTTCAGCAATCATGTTGTCCATCGTTGTCACCTCATCAGCTATCTCACTGTGAATCTCATTACTCGTTAAATCTACAAAAAGTTGCTGCACGACAAAAAGAAATACATTATTTTAAAATATACATACAGTTTTTCTGTTTCAGTGTCAAGAAAGAATACAGAAAGCTCATCACCCACTATCCTACCTTTCGTATTTTTGGTACCTATGATGGTATCTCTCTCTTTAAAAAGTCCATTTTGTGGCTAATAAACAGAAAGTGCATATATATATATATATATACACACACACACACACATATATAGGCATGTGGTCTGTGCCACGCGCCTGATATTTTGCCAATGGGGACGAATCCTCCTGTGAATGCTGGGTTTCTGCTCTGACTTGACTGCCTATGCTGATTCCTGATCCAATCAAAAGTGAAGGACTTTACCATGAAACTCAAATTAGAAGAGGATCTCACATACTGTCACTGCAGTTTACAAACCCACCTGCTGATAAATTAGGAGTTGTGAATTTTAATGGTAATTTCCCAGTGTCATATTTTGTTGTGTCTTTTTCTCCAAAACCCCAACTAAACATCTTTTAACATCTGGTGTCAAGACATGCGTGGGTGGAGACATTAATCTGTGAGTAATTAAGTTATACATGAGAAAACAAAACACTACAGAGTAATACAAAAAGTTTGTTCTTAAAGACCTCAAGAAATTAACAAAAACACAAGACAGATAACTTATGAGCAATCATAATCTTCATGTATTTACAGGGAAAATAGGGGAGAGGAATGCTAAATAACTTGTCTAAAGCCTTGAGATATGGAAGCTCTGACTGGAGCTTTGTGCATGCTGCACAGGAACATGTTGCTATTGCAAGGCTAGGACCTGTCATTTGACTCAAGTAATATGGAGGCTGTGTGAGGTACCACTCCACAGAAATATGTTGGTGGTGGGGGACCCAAACATATGTTTCCCCTTTATTATGTAAAGGGAGAGTGATTCACATTTCATTTGACACAAACAAAAAGCCTATATTTAGAGACAAAAACAAACTAATAAAACAAAAGTTGCTCTGGAGTACATCTGTACATCATTATATCATCAAAACATAATGGGACAATACAGATACGTATATAAACAAAAATGTACTTAAAAAGGCCTGAACCAAGATCTTCAATGTGCCTAAGAACAGTGCTGTCGCTGAACAAAGGAACATCTTATACAAAAATAGGCAACATCTTCCTGATACAAATACAGAAACTTTTCTGACTTTCAGCCCAACACCCTCACACTGGGAATATGACAGAAAAGTTTGGTTCTTTCTGGCTAAGACAACTAAATAAATCAGGACGATATAATGATTTGTTAATTATTTTTTCACACAGTTAAAGAGCTCTATTCAACTAGATGCAGCCTGAGGAAGTTTCACGCACCATCATTCTTTGGGCTTTGTGCCCCATGCTTCCCCACAACAATACGCACGTTTCATGCATTTACGATACAGCTCCATGACCTTTCTACTTTTTGGAGACCCCACCTGTCAGATCCAAATGATGTATGGGGGCAAAGAGCAGAAGAGAGCCCACTATGCTATCTGCCAGAGCATGCGACTGCACAAAAGACTCTGTACAGAAAGGAACCCATTAACAATACATTTTCAAGTTGCAGCCTTTAGCAGAATGTAAATGATGTACGGGGGCAAAGAGCAGAAGAGAGCCCACTATGCTATCTGCCAGAGCATGCACAAAAGACTCTGTACAGAAAGGAAACCATTAACAACACATTTTCAAGTTGCAGCCTTTAGCAGAATGCGGGTGCATCATGAGTCTGGCACAACACAGGAGCTGGAATCTCAGAGATGGAGATCCCAGGAAAGGTGAGAAGTCTGAGAAGCGACATTGGTTTTCACCTGTACAAAAACTACTAATTTGTTCCAATTACATGTCCTGACTAAAACATTCTGGAATTTTATCTTTTAAAAGTTACTTTCACTGTTCCTTTACTCCTGCTGATATCTTAACTACCAAGTCTGCTCTTAGCCCTTTTTTTTTAAGGGTTTTTCTCTGTTAAAAGAAAAAAAGAAAAAATAGCCCCACACCAGTACTGACTCATAAGGCAGCAATAGGAGATGCTGCAGTCAAGCTTGGACAGGCATAAATAGTGCTAAACTGTGCATAGGATCTTACTGAAGATTACTGTGTTTTTAAACCACAACACACTCTGGAAATTCAATATGACTTCAAATTAAAAATAAGATGGCATCTTGTAAAGTACGCAAAAACAGTGAGGTCACACCAACAGCTTTATCTCTAACGTCTCAATTTTCTCAGAAATGCCATAAAACTTAGAGGCACCATTATCTGCCAATAATAGAGATGTTAATTCAGTTAGTGCCTTCAGGAATTAAGACTACAATTTACTACTCACCTATTCTTAATCTTTCAGATACTGCATGTTCTTGTGTAATATAAACCACCTGTACTTGCATTTATATCACTTATGTCAAGTAGTCTTACTTTCTCCACAGTCATACTCAGTCTGCACACTTTTTTTTTTCTGAAAACCATTTTGTGAATCACAACAAAACATACACGTTGTGGCTTTTTTCACCACATTCTGAAGACTTATATATGCCAGTATCTAAAAGTACAGTTATGTACTTTTGTACAGTTATGTACAAGGAGCCAGCTTGTGTCAGCTTATACAACCTTCCTAGGCTTTTATCCTTAAAATTATAGGACTTAAAAGAGAGTGAGCCAAGTTTAGCACACTGATGACAGATCACCACTTTGTAAAACAAGCACACGTGTTATAAAACTTATGCTCTGTAATTCACATTTACTAAACCCCACACACAGCCAGGAAGAATACTTCTTTAAGACATTAAGTTTATTTCGAATGAAAATGTACTCCAGATCAGTCCTCAGTTAAACAATGTCTGTGTCTCACATTGTAAGATGAAGAGCAAAATTAAGGTAATAATGGTGCAGAAACAGACTTGGTTCTTTGGGTGCATGGCTATGGAGGCACAACTCCAAAACCTGAACATATGACTCAAACATGATGACATTTTCCAACAAAATAATATCTGAATTAGTAGGGTATCCATGAAAACCTTACCAAAAATAAGTTATCTCTTTTAATAAATAACTGTTTTTAAAACACTTCAAGCAATGTAAAGTAGTCCTGACACATTTTGGTCCTTTCTGCAGGTTTATATCCATTTTTTTCTCAGACTGCCCTGCTTCCCCCACAGCTACTCATGTAAGGAACAGGTCTCTGAAATGACTGATTTCTTCCAAACATTTGAGTTTGTTTGCCCAACATTTTAAAATAAATTCTAAATTAGTCTAAGAGATAGAACTGACATTTTAGAGTAATAAGTTTATTTCAGTCAAAGTCTAGCAGGAAGAAGGGAAATAAAAGTTACGTAAAACTGGAATCCCTAACAGTGTAGAGGTGAATATCCAGCTGATGATGCACTACGACAGGCAGGTACTATTTGATCTATAAATGACTCAAAAGAGAGATGTTTTCTGGCAACAGAACAAAGATTCCTTGCTTTCAAACAAAAATTCCTACCTTTCAAACATTCCTACCTTTGCTTTGGATGACAAGCCACGTAAGTTGAGCCGAGCTGAAGAAAGTATCTGCAAAGCTTCCTGATGATTAGATTTGTTCTTGCTGCATTTTATAGCCACTAGAATCCAAACACAGAAGAAAATGACCCCAAAACAAAAAAGCATTATCTGTATAGTAATAATCTTTAAACAACAACATTTAATTAAAAATCTTTATACCTTCCACAGACAATTTTTTAATATAATATCTTCAAAAAGAAACACAAGGAAAAAGAATGCTGAGTAATTTTGAGAAGATAACTAAATCCAACAGGAATATCTATCCTTCTTAAACGTAAAAATCACGGCACAGTGAATAGTCTTACTGAGTCTAAGTTTTGTCCATCTCCTGACTGGCACAGACTGAGATGAACTATAGATGCATTTTCACTTGCATTATGAAATTGCTAGACCATTAAATTCCTTGTTTCCCAGTCATATGTTTACTGACTCACTCAACACAATTTCTGCCTCATTCCAAGTATATTTTTGTATGCACTATCAGGATGATGCTCTCTGTTAGAGGACACCCAATAATAGAAATAAATATAATGGGTAAAGCATAATATTGTGTTGTTACTAAGCTTAATAAATATTTGCTACACTCTTCAGGAATAATAAAAGTTCTTTTCATGTAGAACATACCATGAGCAATCTCTATAGCTCCTTTCACCACTTCCTTAAAAGAGGAAACATCTTTCTCCCAATTACTTGATTGAATTTCACATTTATGTGCCTTGGTGAGACACTGCAGTGACTGCGAGGAGGAAAGAAAAATGATAAGTATGTGAGAAAACAAACTAGGAGACTGATTTAGTTTTAAGTATCTATAAAATTAATGCTCAATCCAGAAAATTAATGTATCTTTGCTATGCTTGATTTCCTGTGAGTTGGAGTAGTGTCCTCCTCTGCAACGGTAAGCACCAGCTGTAACACAGATGTTCTTCACCAATATTACATCTCAAGTATGAGAGGCATATAAAGTAACATGTGTCTAATTTTTATCTTTTCAAAATCTGTCTAGACTGATGGATGTGACCCATGTTTGCCAAGTCACCATAATTAAATGCACATGAAAAAGGGAAAAATACTTGTACGCACACTTTGAACAGCAATTTTGTACCTAAAAATTTATAACTGAATACATCAAAGCTTTCTTTCTGTATATGTATTCTTGGTGAATAATGTATTTTACAGACACAGCTATTAGCTGCCATACTGCTCTGGTTCGCAGTGTGAACAGGAAAAATAAATGTAAACAATATGGAAGGAGGGTCCTATTAAGAAAAAAAATACATGAAAAATTTAAGCAGAAGAAATTAATTTTTGCTTTTGAGTTTTGTTTTTCTTTCTACAGCATCAGAAATACAAAACAAATACAAGCCAGAAGTTACAGGGCTTGGTTCAATGACAACTCTTCAATTATCTTTTTGAAGAGTTTAAATATCATGTAAAGGAATAAAAATCTTTCAGTGTGGTACATGTACATGAGTGCAATAAAGACTTCTGGTTGCTGAACAAATACAGATTAAATTCTGGGGTCATCACTCCAGCAGCTTCTACCTTCTCTCTCCCATTAGAGTTCCTGTCACTGTGGCATGGGTGATCGAACTGTTCATGCTGCTGTAAATTGCAGTAAAGGTGTAGTAAGTCAAAGCAGAGCAATTTTTTTCTCTTTCATAATAACCTAGGTTATCATTGGTAGTAGTTCTGACCAGCAGAGGCAAGAAAAGGAACAACAGTTTTTACAGCAGTCTGATTTCAGTCTGCACGTGTTTGAGTCAGAGCAGCAAATTAAGAGGGGGTTTGCTGACAGATGTCAGGGAGGAGAAAGAATTCAAAGTCTTGTGGGCTGTTTGTTTGCAGTTCTGGAACCCGGATTTATCCTGGAAGGAAACAGCTATGAGCTTGGGAGAGTTCAAAGAACAGAAGGGTTTCATAGCCTGGGTATGG